ATTTTTGTATATTTTTGAATATTATCAGGAACACACAAAATTCTCGAAAACATTCAATTCTCGGAATCATGGAATTCAAGGGAAATTTGGAACAGTGACAAATTTAACAGGTATTTAATGAGGTCATTTGTACCCTCGGATCGACCACTACCTCAGGTAATAGATCGAACGAACGTACGGAGAACAAAAGAACGTACACAAAAGATGTTGGGTAAGCCTTGCGAAGGGAGAAGGTGTAACAGAAGCTCGTGTAACAGTCGGACATCGTTCGACATCGCATTCAACCATTTCTTATTTTGCTTTCATTGCATTGGATTTTATTTATCACATGTTTCCATTACGTTTAAATGAAATGTGCGTTTTTTTATAAAAGATTTATATTGAATGTCTGTTGATTACTATAAATTTGATTGATTTTACATAGAAATAACATATATATTAAAATAAAAAAAAAGGGAAGAAGAAAGTGCCGGCAGAGAATCGAATCAGCGATCCAACGGTTATACTAGACAAGAGCGCTACCCGTTGCGCCACGGGATACCTGCTCGTTGATATCTGCTTAACGTTCAATGTACATATCATGCTCGGAATTTTTAAAAATCGATTTTCTCGATATTGGCTAAGAAGCGCGTCTTACTGCTTGACCAAAATAATATCTGGTTGATACACTTCACGTACCATAAGTTTCAAATTTTTCTAAATTTCGAACGTTTGAGCCTCTCCTTGTGAGTAAAATTAAATCCGCGAACAAAGCGTGGTCTAAATCTTAAATTTAGACATGCGGTTTATGCGGTCATCAACCGATAGACCAAAATAGGTGAGCAGGTAAGCATATAAGCGTAGTCACCGTCATTGTTATAATGTATCTTACGTTCAAAATAAGTTATCATTAGTCGCTCATACACAAGTGTTCTCAGAAATATTTATCTGATAAAAAGAAATCTAATGAAATGAAATTGATATAAGAATATATCTTTTTATTTTGAAGGAAGATATAATAAAGAAATTAATTCTTAAGCAAGCTAGTTTCTATTGATTTTTAAACTAATTAAGAATTTTCAGTCTAAAATAAATATTACAATTAAAAGTACAATAAACGAAAAATCATTCTAATTCTTAATTTTAAAGTATAAAAGTTTTATAGAACGTAATTATTATGCTTTTTAAATATTTGGAGAAACAAAGTAAAAATAAAAAATTAGAAAAATTAAATTAAATATTTAATTTTTAGGAGCAATAAAAAGCAATATCAACATAAAAACTAATAATTATTGATAATTTAAACAAGATTTTGTGCTGCTTTAAAAGTATAAGACTAATAATTTATTTTTATATGCATTAACCTTTCTCTTTTCTTTTTTACAAAAAGAAATAACTATTTAATTACTTTCATTCGTTTAATTTATTCTACACCTTTTCCTCTTATATTTAATATTTGTAATATTGCATATTAATTTCCGCGTTTAAAGGTTAAACTGTCATAGTGCCTCTCTAAAAACTAATAATAATCAAGACATAAAGAAATAACACTTTATCAAAAAATCGCAAATTATTTTACCTGTGCAAAGCAACATCAGTGTAACTATCAGCGATTGACCTGAACTCCTTTTCACATCCACCTATTATTTTACCGAGACACAATTTGGACGACAATCATCGCCCGACTGATCTATCTGACACATTCTTCGTCGAGAGGCTGATGTATCCAACCCCCGCATTACTATATCGAACTCACGTGAAACTGCAGTCTTGATTAGTCCATTAGAAGATCGCGAATGCGCTTAAATAAATTTTCGCAAATTCTAGCATTTTTTATAGAGAAATGACAATAGAAAGAAAACGAATAGAAATTTAAAAAATAATCTTATTTAAGATGATCATATATTTCTTTCCATTGATTACAATTAAAACTTATTAGGAAACTTTTTGATCGTTTCGAATATTATTCCAATCCAACGAGTCCATCATAAGATAAGTAAGACTACAAATTTGAAATCTTTTCTAATTGCAAAAAGTCTATGTGTTTTACTCAGAGACAATAAATCGATTTCGAAACCAAAAATTTGTCTTTCCGTTTTTGAAATTGTAAATGGCCTCATGTTAGAATTCGTTCTAATAATCTCTCTCCCCCCCTCTTTCTCCCCTCCCTCCCACCTTTCTAAAATATATAATTTAATATAAAAAGTTAAATATACTTATATAAAAGAAATAATTTTAATTCAAACATTTACTATTTAGGATATTTTGAAGCACTTTTTAAATATGTGTCAAGAGTCCAAATTACCAATAAGTTTAGATTTTTTAGGCATAAAATCAATCCTCTTATAACACGTTTGCTTCATTATTCTTAACATTCTTAATCAAACGTGTATATTATGTGATTAAGATTCTTCGAAATCACAAAACACAATGTTCTTATTTTATATTTTCCCAAAAGCATTCATAAAATGCTAGAATATCAAAGCATAAAGCTGATTACGTAAATTGTATCATAATAAATTTGTTAAATACTTATAATATTTCTTTGTTAAGTATTCCTTCTTTTACTAAAGCTAGTACAATGCTCTTATTGAAAAAAAATTTTTATTTACTATTCTTTTTACTTAATAAATACTAATTAGTGTAACATTACCTTAAATAATGAACCTTAAATGACATTACATTAAGTGATGTTATACAGACGGCTTTAGGATCCCCTTAAGTAAAAAAAAATGTATTATTAGGAATGTGATTTAGTTTTGAGGCTTTTGCAAGAGATGGCATTAATCAGTGTTGTCGAAAACATTCCAATCACAGCTATTATTTCTTAATGCTTTAATATTACTCCATGATATTTAGTCGTTTACTAGCAATAGGCTCAGCAAACATCGCATTTATACCATTTAAAAGCTGGAGCTTCCTAAAGAGAATTTTCGACATGCGTTGCTTTTGTTTTTTAATCAGAAGAAAACAGCAGTTGAAGGTCATAAAACTCTGATAGAAACTTATGGTGATGTTACTCCATCAATTAAGACATGTGAATATTGGATCTGTTATTACTCCATGATATTTAGTCGTTTACTAGCAATAGGCTCAGCAAACATCGCATTTATACCATTTAAAAGCTGGAGCTTCCTAAAGAGAATTTTCGACATGCGTTGCTTTTGTTTTTTAATCAGAAGAAAACAGCAGTTGAAGGTCATAAAACTCTGATAGAAACTTATGGTGATGTTACTCCATCAATTAAGACATGTGAATATTGGATCTGTCGATTCAAAAGTGATGATTTCAATGTTAACGACAAAAGCTGAAAAATGCAGATTTGCAAGCATTATTGGACGAAAATCCAGCACAATCCCCAGTCAGAACTTATCAGAGAATTAAATGTTGTTCGTATAACATACACAAAGTTATTAAACGTTTACGTGACATGTTGTTTAAATAAATCAGTTTCTGAGAAAAAAAACCCTCAAAATTAAATCACATTCCTAATACATTAAGTAACACACTATTATTAGTATTATTTTAAGTTATGAAATTTATTACAAACTTTTATTGTGCCTAAGGCCGTAAATCGAATATCAAAATATATAGCGTTTCTTTATGTGAAATATATGATTTATTTTTATAATATAAACGCATTTAAGAGCAATTACTTTAATAAACATAATTTCCGATAAAATTGAATGAGTTGATATGAAAGTGCAGTCAGTCAAGTCAAAATAAATATGTACATGCTTGTAACATACCATATGTATACAGTAATATTAAATTTATATATGTGCGTGATTTTGCGTATAATTTTGCAAAGGGAAAATAATTCAACAAAGGGGACTCTCCCCCTTTCACGATGATGCGGTTTATTATGTCACACGATTCTCTCTATCTCCCCCTTCTGATATACTCGTAATGTTGTTTGGAATGCTGATGACTCTGACACACTACGTTGCTAAAGCTGCTATCACATCTGTCGGCGTGATCTTTTTAGTAGGTTTCAAAGTTGATCAATAAAACTAAATTACGATAAGGATAAAAACCTCTTAATAATCCGTTTATCAAAGATTTCAATAATACATGTATGAAATAATAACTCGTATTAATTATAATTCTTTGTGTGAAATGTCTTTTATATGATTAAAAAACCTGTTTATTAAATTCGTGTTCCGGCATGTTACTTGGCACCACATGTGTAACTATTTCAAGTTCCATGTATACGTATTCCTTGGAATTTAGTAGACTCCCATTTGTGTAGATGCGCTGGTAAAAATAGTAAACTTGATGGAGTTAGTTGCGTGTAATCGCTTCATAACGGAACAGTTTTTCACAAAATATCGCTACATATACATTAATTGATGCAACTTAAGAATATCTTGATATACGATAATATTTATTTCTCATCAAATTTGACGTCATTCGACATTCAACGTTTTTAAGATTTATAAACTGTGTATATCTTAAAAGGCTAAATATAAAATAGCTAAATCTATAACAGAGCTATAAGATTTTTATCTCGCAATTAAAATGGCAGATTGATAGCTTTCAAGGTTTTTAAAATTTTTATGTTGTCAAATTATATTTATCCACTAATAATAATATGGAGCTTAGACAATCTCACTACTTAATCATCAGACAGCTTCTTGTAACATATGGATAATAAGTCAGCTTTAATATCAAAGGTTTGAAACTAACAATGCAAACTTTGACTTTGAGGATTATCTTCGCAAAGTCGTATTAAAACAACGATAGATCTAAAGCCACTGTAGCAATTCTAATCCCGTGGAAGTAATCCACCAGAGTAAAGCAGCATGGTAGAGAGCTATATGATTCAACAAAAGGAGAGAAACGGAGACGGATAGACAGCTGAATCTTGAAGGAAGAAACGAGAAGCAAGCGACGGGGCGTTCCGACCAGAAATAGAAAAGCGGTACGCGCGCGCGAGAGGAGAGTCGCTAAGTATTAGCCAGGTTGGTGTTCCATGTGAGTCTCTTCGTCGGATCGAACTCGATAGTTCGCATCGAAGCATGCCACGCGGCATCTCAATGAGATCCTCCCTGAGGAGCCGAGATTCGTCCTCGACATCGACCGGGGTCGATCCTCGAGAACGCGTCAAAGACTGCTGCCGAAAGCTGGTGGCTTTCATGTGCACTCAGGTCGGCGTGGGCGGTCTGGTAGTGGGCTATGCCATTGTCGGTGCCTTTGGCTTCATATCGATCGAATCTCAGGTCAATCAAACAGTGTGTGTGCAGGATGATACACGTCGGGAATACGCCAACGAACTATGGTTGAGGACCGCTAGCAATCAGTCGGTGAACGTATTCAACCAAACTGCTTTCTACGTGGTGTCCAACAGTATTCTACAACGTTATCAAGAAAATATTACTGGTAGAAAACAACAGAAGCTAAACTGCAATGGTCTAGCACCTCAAGATGTCTGGACATTCCCAGCGGCGTTGATGTTCTGTCTCTCGGTGTTCACTATGATCGGCTATGGCAGCCTGGTGCCGAAGACCCAGTGGGGTAAAGGCGCCACTGTAATTTACGCTGTGCTAGGCATTCCATTGTACGTGCTCTATTTTTTGAACATGGGCAAGGTGTTTGCACAGACTTTTAAATGGCTGTATACGCAATTACACGAGTGCACTGGTCAGCGGAAACCTGGACAGAGAATTATCGTGCCCTCGACTGCTTGTCTCTGGGTAATATTCGGCTACATAATCGTTGGTTCCATTATATTTGCTGAGTGGGAAGGATGGGACTATCTGGACAGTACTTATTTCTGCGTCACCTCGCTCTGCAAGATCGGTATGGGCGATCTAGTTCCAGGCTGGAGCCACTCTACGGAGGACAGCCAGACAAAGCTCATCATTAATTTTGTGTACATGTTGTTGGGCATGGGTCTAATAGCCATGTGCTATAATCTGATGAAAGAAGAGGTATACGTGAAGGCTCGAGAACTCAAGGAACAGCTGAATCAAGTGATGGATACAATTCATTATAAATTAATAACATGTTGTAAATCGGAACCTACCGATTAAGAGATCAAAAATGATTCACAGGATGAATTATAAAAGTCATAAATAGTGCCAAAATATATTATAAGAGTTTAAAAGAGATAAGAATTTGAACTATTTAAAGCCTTATCGAAAAAAAATTTCTCTATAATCAACAAGAAGTTCCACAAATATAAAGAAAAAACAAGATATTGTAGAATAATATCCATATTTTAATTTTGATATCTTAAAGAGAGGTTAAGAGATACTCATCGTCTAAAAAATAAGTTGTCCCATTTTCGATACATTGTTAAATAATTACTGAAAATTGTAGATATAAATGAAAATTATGAAATAAATGTTGTAATTGTCGAATACATTGTTCAACTAATTATAAAATTTATAATTTTTGTTACGTTATTGTATTAATTATTAATATTATTGCAAAAATGATAAGATTGTTAGTATTTTCATGTTTGATAGACTTAAATATAAATATATTAAAGGTATAATCGCTAGGTACGTTAGAATAGTTTGCTTGCAAAACATGGATCGTGATTTACATCGATAGCTGTATCAATAATATTTTTAATACTATCATGAAATCGATATCATATCACCTATACTGCAAATAGTATATGACGAGAATGAAGATGTGAAAGTTTACATATTGACTAGAGATATCAGTCGCTCTGTGTGTACATTCTTGCAACAGATTATTTGCGTTCTTTGATATTGGAAACGTTAAAATATGATCTTCTTATATCTAGCGTGGCACAATTGCCAACACTTTTCTACAAATAATAAAATAAAAATTGTGAGACGTGAGATTAAATATGCTAGTCACATTAAAACACACAAAATGAAGAAAATTATTAATAAATCTTAAAATTGCATTTAATTCGTAATGTACATAGTATTTTCATTTAAATATTAATAAAAAATATTTTTATCTTATTTAAAATAACATTATTAATTTTATTTTTTATTAAACATATAAATATGTAAGTTTGATGCGAGAATGAACTCTACTCAGTAATTTAATTATAAGAGTTAATTATAAGAAGCGCGAAATTATAATTCTCTTACTCATAAAACTATGTTATACTCTGACGATGAATATGCCGTGGATTAATGCGACTATATATGGTTTTTACTTACGGTTAATTTATTACAAATTTAAAGACGGGGATTTATTAAGCCGAAATGTCTGTTATGAACGCAGACACGGCTATATGAGGATATATTGATCACAGGACATGTCAACCACAAAATAATTGTGCTACCAATTACCAAAGATATGGTCACTGCTAATTTATCGCTCATGATAATGTCCAGCACAATAAATTAATGCAATAACCTCACTGAAAGAAACGATGCATAAATGTAAATAATTTATTACGTGCATTGTTATACATTCCACAAAATGATTTGTATACGATTGTTCGAAAATAAAAGTGTATCGCTAAAAGGATAAACGTTATTTTAATGTGTGATTATTATTTTTATAACTACATGTATGTAGTACTTTACTAAAAATATCGAGAACATATCTGTTGCATTTTGTTCGCCACAAGACGATGAGTGTTTTGTTATGATTAATCATCATTCCATTCTCGATTACCAACAACGATCCACACACCCTATATTGTAATTATAGCGCATCCTGCCGTTATATTTATGTAATTAAAATCACAGTTAGATCATAAAACGTCAAGTTAAGAGAGCGTGGCGACAAGTGACAGACAATTCGCCTTTCATACTGACCATTTCAATTATGTGATTTGCGATCTTACATTGACAAGTTTTATTTTTTGTAATTAATATGCGATTGAAGAAGACTTTTGTAAGTCGAAACTAGTTTCGCTGATTTTTTTATATGTATATTGGTTTTTTAAATTAAATGTTTTTTATATATGTATAACAATCATTGTTTTGCTCGACTTTGGCCTGAATTCTATTACATTCTTTATATTGAGATAGTTGCGTCATTAAAGAATTTTAGTCTTTTCAGCTGAATTTCTTGTACAATTCATCTTTCCTCTTCTTCTTTTCATGTTGGGAAGATAGAGAAAATTATTATCACTATTTTTTCCTTTCCGCTGACCTGTTTTTTTTTTGAAAGCCATTTTCCAAATATTCGGCAGGATATCCAGAGAAATATCCGATCGAATAATTGCTCTACCGGATATCAGATATCCTAAAACCATGTGACGCCGGATATCTGATATCCGGTAATTTTATGATTCAGTGCATCTCTAATTAATATTTTATTTTATAGAATGTACTGTATTGCAAATCATATTTTTTATTTTTATACATATTTTTTATTGTACTTTCATATATATTTTTTTCGAAGGGGTGTTCTTAAAGTTTAAAAAAGTCTGATTAAAAATAGAATAGAGAGAGAGAGAGAAATCTATAATATTATTAACAAATCTTTAATTTCGTTGAACTTAATACAGTAGAGTTAAAAATGTCTAATTTTCCTGTTTGATGTACTATACGATTTATACATGCTTATATGCTATGCTATATCTATGTCTGCCTTGAAATAATAATCCAGTACGATCACAGAAATAACCCAACCCAAAACTGTCATGATTCTCAATGAGTCACTTTGGTTTCGCTGCAAATGATTAACGGAGAACGCTATATAATCTCTATATAATCTCAGACCACATAATTTCTAGAGATGTACACTTAAGAACTTTGATTCTTTCCCTTGGAAATTTTCACAAACTGAGAAATGATCACCTTTTTACATTAATACTCGTAGTCCATGCGCGATTAACGGCACGACTAAACCTTACGTCTGCTTACAACTAAATTTGACATAAAGACGAGATAACACCTGATTTTTGGAAGTTTCAAAAAAGTAATCGAGGGAAAGAATCGAAGTCCTTGGGTGTACATACCTCATATATATTTATATTTTGAATAAAAATAAGACTTATTTGCTATACCTTGGTAATTTATTAAATCTTGGATTTTATGAGTAATTCATGATACAATAAATTATAAATTTTCTCTCGTGTTATTGATAAAAAATTTGCATAAATTTATCATAGTAAATGTGATTACCTATTTCTATGTGATTATAAATTATTGACAAATGATTATCGATTCTTAAATCAGCTCAACCTGTCTTAAATTGAAAACCATTCTCAGATATAGACAAAATCTTGCGGGCCGTATGTTTATTTTGAATGATTAAGGGTTTCATAAATCATAAAAAATTTATTATACAAATGTGTAATGTTGTCGTGCTGATATAATTGTACTGTAGCTGATAATAGTCAACTTAAACTTCTTCTGGTAAGTGTGACTTGTTTGGACTAAAATTAGCAAGTATATCGCGGAGTTCTCTACTTTATCCACCTTCAATAAGATCGCGTAACGTAACACCAATGTACTTATTGAGCACAGATAAATGATGCTTTAGTGATATTCTAATTTTAGGTCTTAATTTGATTTGTTTATAATATTTAAAATAATAGATATATTACCCAGCAAACATGACTTGGCACTATTATATAATTTTTTTGTCATTATTCAGATGTCTCTGTTTTATAACAAGACAGCTATATGGCGTAAACGAGATATCCTGATATAAATATCATAATTTTGTTACATATCTTTGTTATATATTTATAGCATATAATTATGTAAATAGCACATAATTATGTAAATTAAACGTAATTAAGTTACATCCATATATTATTCTATGAATGAGACATAACAAATACAAAATACATTTACATCATTAAGTCATAATGGAAAAAGATGTAAATAATACATATTTTGGTTACATCTGCAGAAATATGTATTATAATCTGTAACAGATATATCACTAAAATTATGAGATTGTAAAAGCTTTCTTAAAAATTACATCACTACGATGTAACATAACTTCATAAATTATACGTCACTTTTTCAGTGTTTGAGCATATTTCATTATATTTGTTTTTGCACATTGAGAGAAGTGACTTTATTATATAAACATATTAAGGGACAACAAATGTGATAAATTGATAAGAAAACGATCGATCAATAAGTACTATTACAAATTATTTCTCATTCTTCAATATAACAAATAATCAAGATAATCAGTATCGCTAGCAAATAAAGTCTATCCAAACGGTAGGTTAGGTTCTATATAGTTTGCTTCTATTATGCTATCAGTTAGTTATTTTTATACGATTGTCGTGTAGATTTTTCCTTTATTGATACAAAAATATAAAGAATAAGTATTTAACATGAATAAATTATTATCATTTCCTAACTAAATGAATAAATATGGAAACGAAATAATAAATATTATTTCGTTTCCATATGATCTCTTCAAATATTAATAATATTAAACTGTCAGCAGAGGCATGAAATTAATATAAGAATGGTTACAATAGGAGATATAATTAACGTTGGCAATGACTTGATCACAAGCGTGCGATTAGCTCAGCGTAAGTGTAACGTATTAGGCTACTGTTCTAGGGATCGTAGGTTCAAACCTTGGCGGCGATGCGATGTGTTTTTCAATAATTAATTGTAGTTAATAAGACAAGAATATATAAGGTATACGAAATAGTAAATAATAAATTAAACTGGAAAAACAAAAGTAAATAATAACAAAAAAATTATTTTTTCCGTTAAGATATAATCGTAATCTTTTTATTACATAAAAAAATAGTTTTTATTTAAGAAAATTTTTTGTTACATATAAAAAATATATTTCTTTCATATAAATGGTAATAGAGCTACGAGCCAAAGTTAATATACAGGGTCAAAATTAAAAAATAAAAATAAATATAAAATAAACATACAATAATTTTAATCTAAATGCCGGCAATAAGCCGGAAAAATTTATAATACTAAACCTCGAAATTTTAATGATTTACGTCAACGAATAATAAATGAATTTAGAATCATGCCTCGCGAATTCTGTAGAAATGCAGTCTTAAGTTTTTATAATCGTCTAGCACATTGTCAGACTACGGAGGGACGCCAATTTGAGTATTTGCTATAATATGTAATATTCTTTTAACCCTAGTTCGCCATACTGGAATATGACGTATCTAATGTGATTTTTCACATTGCAATTCAGAC